TAATTATACAAACAAATTGTTTTCTAATCTTATACTTGTTTGTATTGTTATGTTAAATGAATGAATGAATGAATCACTTATTTTGTATTAAAATATTTATTTACTAAATTATTTAATGTTGTTATGCAGTTTTCGTCACATAATATCTACTTGATTTTCTTAAAAGATTTGAAGTTCAAGTTTATTTATAATATACTAGAAGGGTACTTGCGCAATGCAACGAGATACATCTCGATTTTAATGTTTTATTTTATTTTTTGTCTCTGTCGATGTTATAATACGATTTTATGTGTTTTTAAGAAAGCAATAATGATTTTATTTTTGAATAAAATATAAATTTGAAAAAAAATATATCAATGTTAATATCAAATCAATTATTTAAAAATTCTCATTTTTATGTAATTTCTTTAATTTATCTTTTTTATTTTAATTTAATTTAAGTTTAGTAATGAAATAATTTATTTTTGGTTTAATAATATAACATTTTATAAAGATAATAATTAAGTATTCTGTTAGAATTCAATGATTATCTTAATTATATTTTTTTATTTTTTTATTTAAAATGAGATGTTTATCTGCAGTTAGTTACACGAATTCAGAAATGGAGCTTTAATAAGTTGTATTTACATACAATATACTTGTAACCTTGAGGTTTAAGTAACATGCATTAATAAACAGTACTTTATGTATAAAAAGTGGTTTTTAAGAGTTTTTGTCAAATGCTTTATAATATACTAGAAGSGTACTCGCGCAATGCAGCGAGATACATCTCGACTTTAATGTTTCATTTCTTTCTTCGATGTTATAATACAATTTTATGTGGTTTCAAGAAAATGAGAATGTTTTTACTTTTGCATAAGATATAAATACGAAAATATCATAATAACTTGAAAAAAATATATTTATATTATTATCAAACTAACTATTTAAAATTTCTAATTTTTTGTGTAATTTTTTTAATTTAATTTTTCTTATCATAATTTGATCTAGGTTTGATAACGAAGTAATTTAATTTAAGTTTAATAATATAATTTTTTATAAATATAATAATTAAATATTTTGTTAGAACTCAATGATTGGACCTAATTTTATTTCAGATATTTTATATTTAAAATGAGATATTTATCTTATATTAGATTATGTTTATCTGTAGTTAGTTACACGAATTCAAACATGAAACATAAATAAGTTGTACTTATGCACAATTTACTTGTAATCTTGAATTTTAAGTATTATGCATCAATAAACAGTACTTTGTGCATAAAAAATGGTTTTTAAAAGATTTTGTCAAATGTTTTATAATATAGTATATATATATATATATATATATAACTTTTTAGAACTTCATGTTTAAATTCTATATCACTAATGCTTGGCATCGCGGGTTTTGTAGTGATCAAAAAACACGCATTAACTAACATATAAAAAATATGATGCCACATCAATATCCCTATGACATCAAATCAAAATTGAAAATACTACTCATGGTGCATTTATCAATACCCTTCCAATATTTAAAGGCATAGATTCTCATTCCATATACTTAACTTTATTCTATTGATTTCTTTTCTCTTTAACATGATATATATATATATATATATATATATATATATATATAGGGGCCTATTCAAGGGAGAACTGAGTTGTTTGTGGTAACTGTGAGAACCAATATTAACCACAAATCAATAGATAAATTAGAAAATTTATAAATTTGGTAATTTTAAACTAAAATCTTAATGCAAGGATATTTTTGGTATTTTAAAACTCTCCTCTCTCCTCTCTCCGGCCACCGTCCTCCGGCCACCATCCTCCGGTGATACCACTATGATACCATTGTGATACCTAAAAATATTGACTTTGTTAAACAAAAGATACACTGTGATATTTAATCATATATAAGATGCATAGTGATACCACTGTGTTACATCTTCGATCGACCACACAAACGACATCAATGTGATACCCAAACACATATATGATGCATTGTGATACCATTGTAGTATCACCGGAGGACGGTGGCCGGAAGACGGTGGCCGGAGAGAGAAGAGAGGAGGGAGGAAAATTTTAAAATACCAAAAATATCTTTGCATTAAAATTTTAATTCGAAATTGCCAAAATTATAAATTTCCTAATTTATCTATTGATTTGTGGTTAATATTAGTTCTCAYAGTTACCACAAACTAATTAGTTCTCATTTGATTAAGTCCCTATATATATATATATATTGGTTTAATTAGTTAATTTATTTAACTTTTAATATAGATTCATTTTCTTTTTTGTAAAAAAAGGGTTGGTCAAAAATCAACCATAATCATATGTTAGGAGGGTAGCAAAATGAGCCAACCACCCCGAGGTCATAGAATGGATCAAAAAAGAGTCAATCCTATGAATTGCAATAAAGACATCTCAACCTTCTTTTATGTATTCACCAATCTTTTTCAATCTTCTGTTTACCATCAATGTGAGATAGACAAAAACTTTACCACAATTCAAGATTAAATAATAGGGAAAAGTTCAAAAAAAAAAGAAAAACCACAACAAACTATCTCATTTTAAATGATTAAGTTCATGAATTATTCTTTTGAATTAAAAAATCGTTAAAATTTCTCATTTTGAATGATTAAGTCCCTGAACTATTTTTTCGAATGAAGAAGCCATTAAATTTTGTCATTTTGAATGATTAAGTTTCTAAACATTTTTTTTTAAATAAATATATTATCAAACTTTTAAAAATTGGTTACCTACATCTTTTAATTAAAAAAACTACATATAACCGATTAGAAAATTTTAAAGTAAAAATAAACCCGAATTAGTTTTATTGTCATCAAACCCTACGCCATTAAAACCCCTTGCAAACAAATGTATTGCTCCCCTTTGCCCCAACGGTGTTCGTTCTTCATATCATCTAACACACTTTTGGTCTATGCCATTAAAATCCCTCTTTTTGATCTACTTTTTATTTACCAAAAGTGGGATAATCAAAAGATAACTGATTACAAGTAATTTTTTTGGATTAAAATAATGTACATAACTAATTTCTAAAAATTCAATAGTTTAATTCTTAGACTGTGGATCTTACTTATATATATATAAATCAATATTCAGAGTGTCACATCAACACTCTTCGTCTTCCTTTTATCATTATAAATATAGAGAGAGATACCTCAACATCTTTTTTTTTTTATGTAAATAAATTTCACAACTATAATTTTTATTATTTGTTGGCTTTCATTTTAACAATCAAATTTCTTAACATTTTCAAAAAAACCCAATGGACCTTACTGTTTGGAACGATTAAACCTTTGGACAATTTTTTGGAACAAATAAACCCTTGGACTTTCTAAAATCTGTCAAAAAACCCAATGGACTTTAGTGTTTGGAACGATTAAAACCTTGGACAATTTTTTGGAACAAATAAACCCTTAGACTTTTTAAAACCTGTTAAATAAGTCCTTGAACTTTACAAAACCTGTTAAATAAGTCCTTGGACTTTACAAAACCTGTTAAATAAGTCCTTGGACTTTCTAAAATATGTTAAATACATTTTGTTAGTGAAAAAGGTATGAAAAAACAATGAATTTTCATATTTTGAACGATCAAGTTCATAAATATTTTTTGAACGAAAAAAGTACTTACATTAAAAAAAACAAATATACCATTCTCATTACTATTCGTAAAATATACGAAAAATGAAACCAAAGCATAATAATCTGCATACACATTTTGGACATAATTTTACCAAAAGTTAAACGAAAATATATACCAAAAGTTGAATCAAAGTATGTAACAAAAGTTGAACCAAAGTATGTAACAAAAATTGCGCAAAAAAATACTAACAATTGCGTCAAATATACCAAAAGTTATGCCAAAAAATACCAACAATTGCGCCAAATATACCAAAAGTTACGCCAAAATATACCAAAAGTTATGCCAAATATACCAAAAAATATCAATGGTTTATTTGTTCCAAAAAATTGTCCAAGGGTTTAATCGTTCCAAACAGTAAAGTCCATTGGGTTATTTAACAGATTTTAGAAAGTCCAAGGGTTTATTTGTTCCAAAAAATTGTCCAAGGGTTTAATCGTTCCAAACAGTAAAGTCCATTGGGTTATTTAACAGATTTTAGAAAGTCCAAGGGTTTATTTGTTTCAAAAAATTGTCCAAGGGTTTAATCGTTCCAAACAGTAAAGTCCATTGGGTTTTTTTGAACTTTTCCCTATATTCTTTCTTTGTTACCTCCTTCAATATATTATATTGATATCGATTATTATTAATAATTAACTAAAAATTCAACTTATATAAAAAAAGCTAACTCTCTTACTTAACATAAAAACATCTTCTAATTATTTATTATGTAAAAAGCTTTTTTTGCAAAGATAAGCCAAGTTGAAGCAATCACATCAGTTGATACAATTCATCTACCCTCAATTTTTAATTTCAACTTCCATACTTTGCATTTCCATACCAATATGGTACGATGAAACTCAACCACATTTTAAGATTTAAGGTTTTATTCAAATTTTATGTTGTCAAGTCATCATATCTGGTTTCTCTTTTAATACATATAAAAATTAACTAATAACTAAAAGTCAGACACATGAAAAATACATGATAAACATTGAGTTATAATAATACGATATGATACTCAATAAACGTCAAATTTTATTCTTAATGGAAAATTTCATATTCTGTTGTATCAGACGAATACAAACCAAACAAAGTTATTACTTCGTTATTTTTATCATGTAAATAATTTTTTTCTCATGACATTAACCAAAACAATCGATTGACGTGTACACAATCTGGTTTAAATATCATCCAAAAATGAAAACGATATCAAAATTTATTTTCTTACATATTCATATATAATAATAATTATTTATTTTATTATATCTTTGAATCTTTATTGCAAAAAAAAAAAAAAAAAAAAAAAGTAAAAACTCGGGAGAATATAATCTAATCATCCCCCAAACACTCCTCCTGCAAATCGCTACTTCCGTAAACTCTCTTTCTAAACTCTTTCCAATGGCTGTCAACACTACCGCCGTTATCGCCTGGTTCGTCTCTCGCCTCCCACCGCCGTCTCTTACAACCATCAATCTCACTCTACTTTTTCTTCTATTTTGCTTTCTAGGGGTTCAGGAGAAGATGGACAACTAGGACTCGGAGACAATGAAGAGAAAGAATGGGTTTCCTCAATCACATCCCTCAATTCCGTCACCGTCCGTTCCGTCGTCGCCGGTAGCCGTAACTCTCTCGCCATTTGTGATGATGGCAAGGTGTCTCTTCCTTCTTATACTTTTTCCAGATACACACGCACACTACATTCTGTTTGCTATTACTAATACTATCGGTTTATTGGAATCATCTCTGTTCCATCAGAATATGCAAAAAGTAACTTTACAAGAAAGAATACATCTGTGATCGTACTGTCTTTTGGTTCTTATCGATAAATTATACAGATTTTATCTTATCATGTGATCTCAGAGCTATAATAATTGGAAAAGCGTATAAGATGAGGATAGGGATAGCAATCACTGTGCTAGGGTTTATAAAAGTACAAATTTTTAATGACAAACTCGAAAGTATGCATCTCTTTTGGTTTGCAATTGTACATACATCCGTAGGTGGGATTCATCTCTTTAAATCCCAAATGGGGATATAAAGCTTGTTCTTCTGTATGTATATATGGGCAGGGTTAACTGCATGTGTGTTCTAACTATTTAGTAAGATCAGATATGAAGCTTGGAGAAACCATAATCATAATACCATATAAAACTAGTATTAAACTACTAATTACAAAGCTGCTTTCTTTAATTTGCAAAGATTAATTCTTCTGACTAGTAATCATGACTGCCTTGTGATATCAATGGGTCTTATTGTGGAATGGAAGATTTTGACAAAGGGCTTCTAAATTTAGAGCAAAGATTGAAACTTTATGCTGGTAATCACCACCAAACTAAAGTACATGTATTGGTGTATGTGTGTGTATATATATGTAATTGTATATTGTATATCAAGACAGGATATATTGTATTTTTTTTAATTTTGGTGAAGAACAAAGTATTTTGCTTTGAAACAAATTTGTTGTGTATCAGTTGTTTATGTGGGGTTGGAATCAAAGAGGAACTTTGGGGCACCAACCATCAACTAAAACTGAGAACATCCCCAGTCAGGTTAAAGCTCTTGACGACGTCAATATTGTTCAGGTAAATTGTGATTTAGCAAGTGGTTATTAGAAGAACAAACTAAGTTGTAGTTGTTGATTTAATTCATCATCTGTTGTTGATTCAGGCAGCTATTGGTGGTTGGCATTGTCTGGCTGTTGATGATCAAGGGCGTGCGTATGCTTGGGGTACCCATCATTCTTATCCCTCTTTTGTTTCACGATTCGCTTGTTCGACTGCAATGTGAATCTGCGTAGTGTTCTGAGCTTTTATATGTATAGGCTTTATGGAAAAAGAATCCATATCACAAGTAATTTATGATTGAAACCTAACCAAAAAGAAGCAGTGCGTCCTATTGGACAAGGCAAAATGGAAAATGTTGCATTTTTAGACGGAAAAAATATCATCAAACTCACTTTCTAGTGATGTTAGTCTTTATGACTTATGATGCTGTTCATATGCTTGTATTGGTTGGAACCATATCTTACAACATTTTTCAGTTATTGCAAATCAGATGACTCTGAAAGAACCTTAAACAGAATTTAAGAAGTAACATGTTGTCATGCCCATTTAATCCAGTTTTTTAAAAGCCCATGTGAGTTGAGGGTTCTGTCATTCGGCTATCATTTTTACTTGTATAAATTTTAGTTTCTGTATTGTCCAACTAAAAGATCATGAAGAGAAGTAAAAGTAAGAAACTAGTGGTTATGGTTGCCTTGTTGTGAGGGAGACAAGGATTTTGGGTGCAGGTGGAAATGAGTACGGGCAGTGCGGAGAAGAGCTCGAGAAGAAAGGTGACTCTGGTAGGACTTTGAGGAGAGATATCGTGATTCCTCAAAGATGCGCATCAAAGCTTTCAGTTCGTCAGGTTTATCTTTCATTCCTATCAAGCTTCTCTTTTTCTTTTTGTTGTTTTCATCATTGTTGTTTATGCATATATAAATGAAGAGTTGTATTGCTATCATTTTCATTTAACATCAGTCGATATCTTATATGCAGGTAGCTGCTGGAGGCACGCATTCAGTGGTGCTCACACGTGAAGGACATGTATGGACATGGGGTCAACCATGGCCTCCTGGAGACATGTACGTTGCTGATTTCCTTTTTCTTTTTCTTCTTTTTTATACTCCATTCATTCTCTAATCATGTCCTCTTTTGAGTAAGTTAGCTCACTTATTTTTTTATACTTTCATTGTAGAAAACAAATCTCCACACCCGTGAGAGTACAAGGTCTTGAAAGGGTTAAGTTGATTGCAGTGGGGGCTTTTCACAATTTGGCTCTTGTTGAGGATGGAAATCTATGGGTTTGGGGGAATAACGAATATGGACAGCTTGGAACAGGTGATACTCAGCCGAGATCACAACCAGTTCCTGTTCAAGGATTATCCGGCCTTACTTTGGTTTGTTTGATTCTTACCCACCTCTAATATGTCGTATAAGCTTTGAATTGCTTGATTTCATATTGTTGGCTTAACCAAACAAATTCCTTTCCATATGTGACTGCTCCATGTCTGATTAATATTCTGTTTTCTTTGGAATCGCTTGCTTATTCCAAGTAGCATGGCAGAAAATTGTCTGTTTGATAGCAATAACTCTTCCCATGTTCCATCTTATGGCTTTTGCTTAGTGAATGATACGTACTCATATTCAGACAATTTATCTCAATTAATCATGTTTAAACATTCTGAATCGTTGCAATATGTACTTTCAGGTTGATGTTGCTGCGGGTGGTTGGCATTCTACTGCTTTAACAGATGAAGGAGAGGTACTTGGTGTTCCATTTGTTCAACGAGGCTCATAATTGCTATTCTTTAATGCTAATACAATCTATCTGAAGTGATGGTGTGCCCTTTTCCTGTCCTTTCCAGAGGTATATATATATATGTTGATATATATAGGCATGTTATTGAACAGGTGTATGGGTGGGGGAGAGGGGAGCATGGAAGACTCGGGTTTGGAGATGACAAGAGCAGTAAAATGGTGCCACAACAGGTTCAGCTTCTAGCCGAAGAGGATATTGTTCAGGTCAGATCACAAATAGACTCGGTTCACCATATAAACACGTGCTTTGATTCAATGTATTCTCCATTGAAGCTTCCTACATTCTTTTTATGGCTAATGATGCACAGGTCTCATGTGGCGGGACTCATTCTGTTGCATTGACACGCGATGGTCGTATGTTTTCTGTAAGTATCGATGATATATGTAACTTATTTATATATTTAGCGGCTAAACTGAAAAAAGTTGTATTGAATTTTGTTAGTTTGGGCGTGGGGATCATGGAAGATTGGGATACGGTAGAAAGGTGACGACCGGCCATCCATCAGAAGTACCCATCGACCTTCCGCCCCCGGAAGATGACGAGAGTGGCAGCGAAGTAGGACGATGGTGCGCTACATACGTGGCTTGTGGGGGTCGTCATACAATTGCCATTGTAGAATGGCAAACTACAGGCCCCAATCCCTTGATCTGATGGGATTTTATAATGAAAATTACGACGAGAATTCATGGGAATAAATTTTGACGAATGGTTTTATGTATGAAGTTATTAAAGTATGATTTTCTTTAAGGTGGTTGATGCAATTCACTTGATTATTTGGAATTGGAAGCATCTTGTCCCAGTCCAGCACCAGTTAGACAATCATTATATAATTTGGAGAAAATTGTGAGAACTAGACATGGGAATTGGTCCCGACCTGACCTGCCCCATTCAGGGACGGGGATTCCCTGTTAAACCGGATCTCGTGGACAGGGATGAGGATCCATGTTTGGCTCAAACTGGGGATGGGTATCGCACTCTCCGTCCCGTACCCGTATATATATATTAGTTAATAAGTTGTATTATATATTATTTATTTATATTAAATCATTAAATAGTAATTTCTGTTTCAATATATTTTGGATATTACTAGATGTGTTTTTGGATATTACTCTAAATATTTTGATACATGTGACACTAATTTTTTTAGATTAAATTTAATTTTCGATTTATTAATTATTATATAATGATGAATATTTTTTGTATTAAATTAAATTTCTTTTGATTTTAGATTTATTGAAAAAATGTGAGATTTAAACATGTATAACATCTTACACATTTGATTTAATAAAAACGTACAGAAACGGAGAAAGAATCCCCATTTTTCCATTGGATGTGATTAAATTCCCCGGTAGGGATGCGGATGGGGATAGGAACAAAGATGTGATTAAATTCCCCGTTACCATGCCTAGTGAGAACAACTATCTGTCGTATGAAAATGACTATTGGAATAATTAGTGGATGGTTAACTGCATATCAGTTACAAATTGTTACACGGGAATCAAAATGCAACTTAAAAGTATTTCAGAACCAGAAAACTATTTAGATTATGGCTTATGAACTATTCAAAAACAATTATATTGAATTTGATTGTTATGGTTTTTTGTTTAATATAGAACTTGAACAAGTAATGTTATGGTTGTTCGGATTAATATGAAATGTTATTTTGAACGAGTAATTCAATATGTAGTTTATATTTGTAAAGTAATTGTTTTATTCATATATTTATCAAATAACTATATTTCATTCAGAATATAGAGGATTAAAATAATAATTTATTGTCATTCAAAACAGTTATCAAACAACCATATTTCATTTTGTACTATATCATACAAAGTCTCTTAATCATTACACATAAAACCATGCAGCAGCTGTCATCCAACCCCTAACTTAATTTTTTTCAACTACTTTTGGTACCTTCAAATCCATCTATTTTTATCTTCAAATTTATATATACTTTTCACGAGCTTATATATACATTTAATCAACTTTTACGTACATGAATTTATTAAAATTTAAGACATATAAAAACTCATTTTTCTTAAGTTCTCCATAAAATCCGTATTTGGGCCATCACTAGGGCGTTGTCTTTTTAACAAAAACTCTTAAAAACCATTTCTTATGCGTAAAGTACTGTTTATTAATGCATATTACTTAAAACACAAGATTACAAGTAAATTGTGCGTAGGTACAACTTATTAAAGCTCCATATCTGAATTCGTGTAACTAACTGCAGATAAACACAATCAAATACA